TTTATTGCTATTATAGGGGGGCAGAAATCAAACGTCTGTCAAGACTTTCCTGAAAATATAATGAAATAAATAAAGGGGTTAAAATTCTGTCTAGCTACTCCTTAAGATTGCTAAGTGCTGTGTAAAAACCTCGGTCTTGCTGTCCTTCAGCTTCCGTGCCATACTAAAGAGAGATAAAATGAAAGCAAACCTTTTTTTTTTTTGCAAAGATGATATGTTTTTCGAAAATCAAAATGAAACATATTGCAAATGTAAATAAAGATTTAATTTGTAACATTACATTTTCTGTTTATCTATATATATAATCAAGATGGGTTGATGATAATAAGCACAGAGCCCAAATGGTTAGGAGTTGAAAGTTGAAATTTGGTACACAGTTAGGGTATGTCACAAGAACGTACACTAAAAAAGGATTTTTCAAAATTTCCCCCCACGTGAGGGGGAGAGGATTAAAGCTTACCTTGAAGAACTCTGCTTCTACTGTACTATCTTAGATGCAGTTTTTTGTGTTTTTGATTGCATTTTAATAGGGTGTGTACACTAAGAAGGGATTTTTCATAATTCCCCCATGGGAGAGGTTAACACTTCCTCCAGGGGAATTGTTAAGAGAAAGCGTCAGGCAAGATTAGCAGGCACAGATGCGTTTTTGCAGACAATCAAACATATTTTTAGACCCATCTAAAAGTTCTCTAATTAGTCTGGAAACAGGGGGACTAATTCTTGCATTTTATGAAAACGGGTAAGATTGGCTATAATGTAATAACCTTAATCTTCGCTATCGTTACTTTTTGCCTGAGCAATGCCGGGCTTATTTGCTAGTTTCTTAATAAATTTTGATACTCTGTGGTTCAATATTTATATATTAAATCAATTTAAAAGGCATTCTAGACTGATGTTTCATACTTAAAACCCAAAGACATCCGATAAGAGCAGCGACGACATTCGTTTCATTAAAATATAATTTGTAGGATCAAAAAAGGGTTTTTGGATGATAATATTTTTTCATAAATATATTTAAGTGTATTAATATTTGATACTTTTGAATAAATTTAACATTCATTTACAGTAATTTAAAATTATTTTAATAATAATGAGTTTTGTGTTGTGTAGCAAATTAAAAAATTCAAGTATAATAAATAAATATTTACGTTCTCGACGCATTATTGAATAAACAACAATAATACCACACGAAATTCATACTTGAATTATGATTCTTCAAATTTTCATGATCCAAAATGTTTTATGTTCCATCAGATATTCTGTTTAACACCTTAAGACCTACTCAGGAGAGTTCAAAATCAGGGGTGAACTTTCTCTTTTGTTTTGTCACACACTGGTCATTGATTCATAGAGTGCATTTTTTCATTATTGAATATGGATTGGAGAGAATAATAATTGAATTTTAGAATAATTTAGTTTTTGGAATGAAAATACAGTATAAATGTTTTGCGCTACATTTGTTTCCTATTAAATCTTTAATCACAATAGATGATGTGATATTAAATTTGAATTGTATAGTTGCAAGATTGTACAACATTTCATTAGGTTATATATAGATATATCAATGGGTTAAGCATATTATGGGATTAATATTATGCATAAATTATTTAAATTTGTTGTTATTACTGTGAATAAAACATAAAATTCAGAATGTAGTAGTATTAATCTGACAAAACCTCTAAATTTTGACATATTTCTATTTAATGTATTTTTAAAGCAATATTATTGGGTGTACAAAATGTAATATCATAAATTTATAATTAAAGAAAATTATTAGATTTTTAATTAATTTTTTACGATATTACATTTGTATCTATTAATTAACTACAGCCAAGCACTTGTTTTAATATCAAAATTACTCCATTTTTATATTTTTAATTTTATTCTGGCAACTTTTCAATTTTTAAAATCTAATGAATACAAAGTAATCCGCTTACTACAATGAAAAGATAAGCTTTTTTGTTTTTTTTTTTTTTTAGAAATGAATATAATTTGATTTTATATTTTATGCAATGATTGTCGTTATTTCAATTTTTGTTTAAATATTATCTATTCATGTAGACCTTGTAAATATGATTTATTATACTGGTGTAGTTTCAAAGTAGCAAAAAAAAGGAAAACTTAGTCAAAAATAAGACAAAATACTATGTAAAAGTAACTATTTTGTCTCATTTATAAACGAAGTCTACGTTTGAGAAGTAATTTTATGAAATAATCCATGGTTTAAATGGTTGTTAGAATGAATTTGAATATTTATTTTAATACGATACAGGTGTATTATTTTTTTATATGTTTTATAACATAAAGAAACTTGAAGGTTGATGAAATGAAATGTGTTAGTCTATATTATTTGAACAAATGGGGAGAAAACTTTCTTGGTGGTTAATTATTTTTTTCTCTGAATTTTGATGATTCCAAATGAAGATTTTCGAATAATTAGATACAAAATGTTTTAAACCTTGCTATTTGTTATGTATTGACATAAGAAATGAGCCGTTGATTTTGAAAGTGGGGGTGAGTCCATATTATGTTTCTGCTAGATATTTAATGGTTTGCATTTGAATGGATTTAAAAATATTAGTAAACAGTAATAGTCTTATTTTATAATTTTTTGTTCTTATTTCATGTAAATTTAATATGCAATAATGGTTCTGTGTTAGGTGAAAAAAAAATCATGGTGTTGGTATGCGCCAATGGACTTGCCTCGCTTTTGAAAGTAATGATTTGTTGAAAGCGTTGAATTTTTTTTGAATGGAATGTAATTATAATAACAAAAAATTGAATATTTTTATTTATTTACTTATTTATTTTATTTCAACATTTTATACTTTTTTCAAAAAGCTACAATAAAACAAAAAATAAATTTAATTTTATAGGAAAATGTGGAAAAAATATTCAGTTATAAGTTGCATGCATATCATTATATTTTTTTAGTTTAGATGGTGCAGATTTTTAAAGTATTCATAATGAATGGGTCATACATAAGGTAATAAACCCATTATGTCTTTATATTTTTGTTTAGAGTGGACTTGCCCCATTTTCAAAATCAATGGCTCAAATAATGTTTCTATAGTGTTGCAGAACGTGGCACATCTGTAACATAAGTGGAAATTCAAAATCTTGATTTACATTGAGTAGATCATTTAGTACCCAATTGAATATTGCTTCTTCTTTATGTGTCTTCTCCTGTCAGGAGGTTGACAACCATTTCATGCCACCATGACCTATCTTGTGCTTCTCTTGAGCACTCTTCATATGTTAAGTATGTCCAATTCCTGATGTTGCTGAACCAGTTCTTTCTTGGCCTGCCCCTACCTCTTTGCCCTTCTATCGTTCCCTCTAGTAATAGTTTTTGTAGGCTGTTGTGTCGCATAACATGACCCAGATATCTCACAATTCTTTTCCTTACTACTTCTAATAAGGTCCTTTTCTGGTTTGCAATTGCCAGGATATCTTCATTTGTTCTTCTTGCCTTCCAAGAAACTCTCAGCATTCTCCGAATCATCCACATTTCAATATTGCTTATAACTGGATAAAACTGGATATCTTATTATAAATCTGCATACTGGTTTTTTTTCTGTTTATTTTCTAAAACTTCATAATACAAAAGGATGACAATTTAAAAAGTTTATTGATGGTTTCTGGTCGTTGTTTGTTGAAAATAAGAACCAGAAATTAACTATTAAATATCCTATAGTTACAATAAGTGGATGCTGATTAATTTTTGGTTTTGGATCGATGTTGGGAAAATCAGTTTTGATTGGATGTATTAAAGATTATCTAGGTAATCAACAATAGCTCAGTTTATACTGTGAATTTTTTGGTTTGAAGCGAGTTTGTTTTGTTTAGTTTTATAAGATTACTGAGTTTTCATGTTAGAATAGTTTTGTTTCTCTTTCTAATTATATAAAATTGAATTAAAATTTAGTTTTTATAAAATCAAAATTTTGAATAGTTTATAGGGTGCTTTGGGAATCTCGGATGGAACTGCGTGTTATTGGAATTAGTCTCCAAAACATCTATGGTGTACGTATGGCAGTGACCTAAAATGCATTTCAGATTGACTTTAATCCTTCGTGCTGACATACGGTAGCGAGGATGGTTTACATTGCTACAGCCAGATCAAGATTCACAGTGTACTTAAGTTATTTCCTCAGAGTATTTTACCCTCATCCTCAATCTACATTCTAAAAATTAAAGTACACGAAAATATCTTTTCTAAAAGCTGCTATAAATTCAAATAGTATAATTACAAAAATTCTAACTTTACAAATTTGTATCCCATTTTTTATATAATGAAGCTGTTGAAATTAACAGTTTGTTTCCAGCATAATTTAGAATAGGCTTTCTTCTTTCAGATTTGAATTCCTAAATTATTGTTAACAACAAATTCATTTTAAACATTTAAGTGCCTTGGAATTGCTGTTTTTCTTCTTTTTTTTAAGATATCTTTACTTTGATATATTTCAGCCATAAATCTTATTTCTTTGACTATCTAAAGGGAATATCTGGACTTATTGGCTATAACAACATTTCACTGTCTTGCTTAACCATATATTTTTGCAAATCAATGCAGCTTAAACCTCAAACCAAATATCATATAAAAAGAAAGTAAAAACACTGAGTGTGGTGTTAAGTTATTTAATTTCAATTTAAATAATATTTGTTCCATTTGCATTAGAATATTGCATTCTCTTTTTAAATTTCATTTGCCTGAAGATGACGAACATAAGTTTGTCGAAAGCGCTAGTGAAAATAAAAAACTGTAAACACTGTAAAGTTTAAGGATGACACAAAATATTTTCAGAATTACTTAGTTAACTTTTAACTCTTAGTGAAAAAGCTGTTATGTTTATAATAATATGTGATATTCATAAATTACGATTAACAGCTATGAGAATAAAGATTTAATTATATTATTGTGATTTTTGACGTGTGTGTTTTGAATGAAGTATAAATTACTAGAAAAACTTCAATTTTTATGACCTTTTTTTTTACAGGTGGTTTACTGAGTTATTTCAGAAATTTACTGGGAAGCCGGGAAATGCGAATTCTCATTCTGGGGTTGGACGGCGCAGGAAAGACCACCATTCTGTACCGGTTACAAGTGGGCGAAGTAGTAACTACAATTCCTAGTAAGTTTGAGGAATAGAGACTAAGGTTTTTAATATTTTAAATTAGATAAGTACTAAATATAGTACACGATGAAAATTACACCACTTATTTAATTTACTTTGTGTTAGAGCACAAATTTTAGTTTGTTATTTGAACAATGTCGTGAGTTAAGTTGTTTTGATAAGAAAATAAATGTTTTTTTTTTTTTTTATTTCAGCAATTGGTTTTAATGTTGAACAAGTTACATATAAAAATTTAAAATTTCAAGTTTGGGACCTTGGAGGGCAAACTAGTATAAGGTAATTTTTTAAATTTTATTATTATGTAAAGAAATAACATAAATTATTTTTATACAATTTTAGTTCTTTTGCAAAAGAAACATTAAATTTAAGCAATAATAAAGTGTAACTCTATATGTTTACTAAATATTAGTGCTGAATGCTAGAAATTTGTGTTGAGTACTTGCTTTTTTTTTCAATCCTAGTATCCAAAAAGATTTGGGTAATGTATCCCCTTAAGCTTTTTGTATCCAAAGGCATCCAGTGCTTCTGGCTTTCCAAAAATTTGTGTTAATTACATTTTTATCATAAGATTTAAATTAAGATGGAATTTTGAGGATAAGAATATTAAATGTTGACTTAATGTGTGTGATTTATGTGGCAGATTTTGTGAACAAGAATTTGCATGACAGATATACATTGAAATTCCAAGAGATTCTTTAAATGCATAAATAATCGTCGACTTAAACAATTTTTTTCGTTTATGCTAAGTCAGACTGCTCGTAAGTAATGAAAAAATCACACAAACACCCAAAAACCCAGTTAAAAACAACTATTATTACTATCACAAAGGTTTTTGTTTATCTAGAACAAACATATAAACAAACATGGAAAGAATATACAGAACAACTTTATAAAGCAGATAATAATATAAAAGAAATAATTGAAGGAAGACATTTTACTTTGGAACCATCAATTTTGAAGGAAGAAGTGGAATGGGCAATCAACCAAATTTCAATTGGGAAAGCAGCAGGAACTGACAGAATTCCAGTGGAACTGCTCAAAGCAGCTGGGGAGGAAGGAATTAGAATACTAACAAAGCTATGCCAACAAATATGGGAAAAGGAGGTTTGGCCAAAGGAGTGGAAGCAATCCATTTTTATACCAATCCCAAAAAATGGCAATGCAAGAGAATGTTCCAACTATAGAACAATCGCACTAATCCCTCATGCAAGTAAGATTCTGTTAAAAGTAATACAGAAGAGAATTGAGCCATATTTAGAAATAGAATTACCACTGGAACAGGCTGGATTTAGAAAGGGAAGAGAAACTCGCGATCAAATTAACAACATCAGATGGATTCTAGAAAAGGCAAAAGAGTACCAAAAGGATTCCTTCTTTTGTTTTATAGACTATAGTAAAGCCTTTGATTGTGTGGATCACTCCAAGCTATGGAAAGTACTCAGGAGCATGGGAATTCCTGAGCACCTTATATCTTTATTGATGAGTCTTTACAATGAACAAGAAGCAAAAGTAAGAACTCTATATGGAGAAACTGAATGCTTTAAAATTGAGAAAGGGGTGCGACAAGGCTGCATTTTGTCTCCATATCTGTTTAACTTATATACTGAATATATCATGAGAATGATTACTACAAATGAAGAGTCCATTGGTATCAAGATTGGAGGCGAAAGTTTAATAATATAAGATATGCAGATGATACCACCCTTTTGACAGAAAGCAAAGATGATTTAGAAAAACTTATCATAAGGGTAAAAGAAGAAAGTACTAAATTTGGTTTGAAGCTAAATGTAAAGAAAACTAAAGTAATGTCAACTAAAGAGTTAAAAGATTTCATTGTGGATGGTGAAAGAATTGAAGTGGTAGAAAGTTACATACTTTTGGGTTCAAAGATAGAAAGGAATGGAAGTTGTGAAGGAGAAATCAGGAGGAGAATTCACCTTGGCAGAACAGCCATGGCAAATCTCACCAAGATAATGAAAGATAAAGACATTTCCATTCATACTAAGAAAAGAATTGTAGAAGCAATGGTTTTCCCTGTAACATTATATGGCTGTGAAAGCTGGACTCTAAGGATAAAGGAAAGAAAAATGATAAATGCATTCGAATTATGGGTATGGAGAAGATTACTTAAGAGTTCCATGGACAGAAAAGAAAACAAATATCTCAGTTTTAGAAAAAATTAAGCCAAGCTTCTCCTTAGAGTCAAGAATCTTAAAACAAAAATTGACCTACTTTGGACATGTGATGCATAAAGAAGTTTCCCTAGAGAAGACTATTATGCTGGAAAAAGTGGAAGGTAGAAGGAAGAGGGGAAGGCAACGGATAAGATGGATGGAAGAAATAGAGAAAGTCACAGAAATGAAGCTGGAGGAGCTACGAGAGACAACAAGGGAAAGAGCAAGATGGAGAAGACTTGTCCATGAAGTCACCAGGAGTCAACGACGACTCGATGGAACTTAACAACAACAGAACAAACATCTTAGGGTAATGGACCATAACCAGAATACAACAGTTTTAAACATCAAATTTTAAACATTTTCCAACAAAAGAACGAATACAAATTTAAAATTAATACATAAAATAAAAGGTCAAACTGATGATACTGCACAGATTAGACCCTGGGAAGATAAATTTATACTTTCCAGGTGGTATAAAGTGTGTCACTTTATCTTGTTTCCCATAATTACCTTATATAATCAGCTTTCTTTAAAGTGAAGGACAGATAATAAAAAATAATAATACAGTTTTATTTCAAACTAAGCATCAAGTGCCATGAAGTCGTCAAATCGCTCGAGCGCAGAATCCAAATATTCATATAAAACGTTAGTCATTTTTAAGTTTTTCTCGCATACCCCTAAATGACCAGGCATGTAACTGCAGTTTGAAATTGCCATTCTAGACAAACAAAAAATTTATGATAGTAAAGAAATTGCTTTTAACTGGTTTTTTGGGGTATTTGTGTGATTTTACTGAACTCCTTTTCATTTATGTCAAGCATGAAAAACAAATTTATTGCCATAAACAACGTGAAGTTAAAATTTGTTATGAAAACATGTATATGGAGTAAAAAAAATTTATTTAATAAATTATTCAAAAGTTACTTGTATAATAGAAATGTAAATACACAAATGGCATTTTTCATTACTACAATTAAAGACTAACTTCTCTTTCTCTTTTTTCTTTTTAATCTTGAACACACGCCTAATGCATTAGTTTTAACTTTTACATATATAATAAAATTTCAAAAGTTCTTTGCTGTAAGATTATATTATTTTAAAATCGATCAAAATCCTGATGATATCGTGTGTATTATTTTAATGTTTCCACAATTAATTCAGATATTTACATTTTTAAAAAAATATTAAAGATTTTTAAATTATTATTGTTTGTGAGGAATAGGTAATAATAACATATAAAAACAGCATAAGAGAAAATTGCCATATTTAAATTTTAAACATTTCATGATTTAAGAAAACACTTCCTCCCTTTTAAAGCCGTATAGTTTTACAGTTGCAGTTTAATAGTGGGACAAATTAGTTTTACATAATAAAATAAAGTTTTTTAAACTTAATAATTAGAAAAAAATTTTCTACAACTGCCAAATTAACAATTTTAACCAATTAAAGATTTGTTTGCAAAATTGATTTTTTAAAAATCAAAAATAATTTCATTAGAATGAATTTTCAATTAAAAAGGCATTAAATTGCTTTATAGGAATTTTGAATCCAACATTTGACAAGCATTTACTATTATATAAACGGCTTGCTGTATATTATATTACAATTGTAAATTCGTCTCTGTAATCCAAAAACACACTTTGGTAGACGTATCTTACAGCAATTACATTACAATTGCTGTAAGATATGTCTACCAAAGTGTGTTTTTGGATTACAGAGACGAATTTACAATTGTAACATTTACTATTATTTAATCATTTTTTAAAAACATTTTGTTTATTTATGATTTCAAAATCACACAAATCTTCTGACATATGCACGGTCTTTCCAAAAGTACTCGATCACACGGGTAATGTCCACATGCCAATATCATTACTATAATTAAATATCGGATGTCTAATGTCCACGTGGGCATCCGATATTTGTCACTACTAATTTTTATTAGATACGTGTGGCAAATAAGTAAACTAATTTAAATGCTTAAATTTAATGTTCTTTAAAATGAAAACTACACTTCTGAAAAATATTAAGTTGTATAGTGTGTATTTAATGTAAAGTAAATAAGTTTTAAATCGTTTATATTTTCAGATTTTACTCTTTAATTTGGACAAAAATAATTTGAAAACTTTTTAGCATCAGACTGTAGAATAATTGCAAAAGTTTGTCAGTACAGTACTAAAAATGATTCATTCTTGCTTACAAGGGTCTATTTTTTATTATCTCTGTGGGTTTTTCCCACCGATTACAGGGAAACTCAAAAGGTTTTGCTCTGTTGCAGTTGGTGTTACGTTCGATGACAAAGCCACATTCTCTTTGTCGGGCAAAGGTAAAGGTCGAACAGAATTGCCTTATCTGGAATCTATAAACTTGCCTGCATTTTGTGATAGTCCCAAAATAAATATCCGGTTTGCACTGGCCTGTGAAGTTTTGCTGTTTTTTCTTGAAAGAAAAATGCTCCGAAAGCTGGCAATTATCGGGACATGCTCATCCCGATAATTGCCACTTTTGTAGAATTGTCTGCATTCCTTAATCAGAAGAAGTCCGACCCGACGTGTTTTTCTTTGTGTCGTGTAGAAGATGCCACTACGAGTGCCACTCGAAACAAATTGAGAGGGTATCGAGGCAAGTGCCTCTTGTTCTTTTTGGAGAACATTATTTGGTTATCTAATATTTTACACTGTTGTTTTCATAAGCTTTTTAAAATTAAATAGAGGATGGAAAAGGAATAATAGATCATTTTCAATTGGCAGATTGATTAAAAATTATAAAAATTACAGTACAATTTATACTCGAAAGGAAGAATAGAAAAGGTATAAAATTGTTACATTTCTTATTTTCACTGGAAAATATCAAAATTACAGTTATTACGAATTTGAATTACCTTTGGTCTGTGCGCCACAATTCTGGACACACACATCCCAGAAATATCGGTCAAAATTTTCTGCTTAAATCTGTTTGTGCAAGACCACTTTATGCCATAGAAATTGTGCAGTATGTATTGTCACATTTATTTTATATTTTAAAGTGACAAATTTGATTGCTTTGATAAGCACTCCTTTGGTTTTACTGGTAAAACGGGGATTACGCATATGCGAAATTCTAGCCAGTAGGTAGGTTGCAATGGTCCTTTTCCATTCTCTTTAAGTTGTCTAAATCTCACACTTCTAGATTTATATATACCTTTTCTTCTCAAGTAACATAAGAGGCTAGGGCATAGGCAAAGAAGACGATGTTAAAATGCCAGATAGTGAAAGCAGTGGTTAAGGTCTTAACTTGTGAAACGCTTGGAATCAATTGCACATTTGATACTGTACATGCTAGTGACGGTCTTCACATCAGTTTACTAAATTTCTTATGTACCCATAGTTTTGAGGAAAAACTTTTTGGGTTCCTGTATCTGTTACAATGTGTTTTTATTAAATATGTTCCTAAGTCATAGACCTCATTGTACATTTGATGACAAAAATCATTACGGATAGTGATATTTGTATTTGTCCAAGTTTCATTTCAATCTTAGTGTCTCGACAAGACCCGTAAGATCATAGCTGTTTGAAAAATATTTACACAAAATGTTTTACTTTTTCAATATCTCCTTTTATATTTCCACTAAATGTGGCAGGAAATCGAGCACGAGCTCCGATCATTTTAGGCCACTCAAAAAGGTACAGTATCTTACAATGCAATACCGTTTAAGTACAAAAGAACAATCTTTCAAAACCCACCAAAAATATAATTTCCCTAAAATTCATGGATTCTGTCAACTACATGATGCACCAATGGCTGACAAAACTGAAATAGACAATCAATAATTAGATGATGAGATCCAAAACCAATCTTTCAGCGTTTAAAAGGCTCAAAGATTGGTTTTGGAACCGTAAAACATGGTAGCATAGGATCCTTTCATATTTTGTTGCTATTCTGTACACCTTTTTATTTGCAACATCAGTTTATTATATTAAACATAATCTTTCTAAACAAATAAGCAGTCGAATTTGCTTCGCTTCCAGTAATCTGGTACCATTTCAGTGCATCCAATTGCCAAGATTGTAGACCAGTTAAAAATTTTACACATAATTTTACAAATGCAAATTACATAATACTTTAAATATCTAATTGTAGAAAACTTGTTTATTTTTAAATATCATAAATATATATTTTCAGGCCATATTGGAGGTGCTATTTTTCTAACACGGATGCAATTATTTACGTGGTAGATAGTGCAGACAGAGACAGAATCGGTATTTCCAAGCAAGAACTCGTTTCCATGTTAGAGGTAACCGTTGCTCTTTTTTTTAATGCAAATAATAGATGTTCTAATTTAATTAAGTTTGTATATATTACTGTGAGGATGGAAAATTTATGTACAGTGTTTTCCACTTGTCGCTATCGTTCGTTTTGCATCTTCCAGATTAGTAAGTCCTAAAATGCAATTTAAAATATGACCATAAAACTTTGGTTATCGTTACTTTGAAGTAAATGAGTTGTTTAAAAGCAGTCTTTTTGCATTATGGACCTCGGCATGTAATGACAAAATGACAATAGTGTGTTAACTAGTGCTTTAAACAACAAATGCAATTGTTTTATTTGGCTACAATATAGTAGTTTAAATTGCTATAGTACAGTTTAAATACACTATAGTACAGTCTTTAAAAGTATGTAAATCGACAATGTTGGACAAATTTGTTTGTGGATTACTGCATAAGAACAATTTATAAAATGTACGAATCAGAGATTTGTTAATTATAGTATAGTTTTAATGTCGTACTCAATGTTAGCAGTTGGTCATCATTGAATAAACAGAACTTAATTTTATCAGTGTGGGAAAATTTTAAGATATTTATAGTAAGTGGATTCCACGGTGTATGAATTTTTTCATTACTGCTTCGTGAGTACGTGTGTAGAATCTCATCATCTGATCGATTTGAAAATTGTTCCATATTAGGAAGAAGAGTTAAAAAAGGCAATTCTAATGGTGCTGGCCAACAAACAGGACATCGAAGGTTCCATGTGCGTGGCAGAGGTGCACCAGGCGCTGGGATTGGATGCCTTGAAAAACAGAACGTTTCAGATATTCAAGACTTCGGCTACCAAAGGAGAGGGACTGGATGATGCCATGGATTGGTGAGTTGCTCCGCTCTCTTTCAGTCGATTTATTATTACTAGATTTAATTTATTCGTTGAGTAGAGACAAATCCCCGCAGAATGTTTTATATTCTGACAATCCAAATGCTGGATTAATATTTAAGCCTATGTCCCGAGTTAACTCGGGCACAGACTTTAAGGGTCCGTTAAAAAAGCCTTGACTTATATAACTTTTCCGAAAATGTATGGATCAGCGCATATACATCGTTATCTATGATCTGTGCAAATTTCATGAATTATTTTTGCCGCAAAAATATTTTATGACAATTCATTAATTAGGTAATTAATCACGCTATTGCTTTTTTATGGGAGTTTTTTTAATCAAATTAATTAAATCGTTCTAAACTTCTATTTCACTGATTTGACTTTGGTAACATTTTTTAAAACTCTATTGACTGCTTTTTATGACATCGGCAGGTTATTTTGTTGTTTTTTGTTCAGTAGAATTTTTTCCCCACCTATTTTCGGTCCCCTCGTAATTTAATAGCATTAAAATTGACAATATTGTGTTCTGTTTGAACAGATGCAGTAAGTTAGCTCCCCTCTTGCTTTAGACCTATATTCCCCTGAAGCTTAACATGAGAACTAACTGGGAAAGCTGACTCCAGCTGTTCTCAAGGTCAACCAGTTTGTAAACAATGTAGACTGCACGTGTGAATTTCATGCCTTGTTAGACGAAAGAATAATCCTTACAGCTATATTTCTCAAATAAAAGCGTATATTTTTATTATATTATATATACTTTATTTGTAAAAACACTTTTTGGAGTGGTTTTTATTCCACAGGAATTATTTCCCGGAAATTTTTTTGGATGTCAGATTTGCGTTTAAGTGGAAATAATTATTTCATACAAAAAATAAATTTTCTGTGGATTTCTTAGTTGCATTTGAATTGGGAACATGGGTAGGAAAGGGGTTATTCTTATCTCATCTTTTCATTCGTTCACGGTTGCAAGAAATCACCACATAGAGTCTCTCAAATCTCCGTAGATATAACAAACACAGAAATAAATAACACAAAATAAATTGTAGCTATGTGTTGATTCCGCACGACACGTCCGAACATGTAAGCTAAACAATAGTGTGGGGGGAGTGAGTAATCAAGGATTGCATGGCGCTCAAACAAAAGACGAATCAATGAGATTTGAAAATCGCATAACTCCAGGTTCGCGTAAGTCGAGGTATTACTGTAATTTGAAACAAACTTGTATCGACCTGCAAGTGAGACGCCATATATGCGACTTGGCTTGTATGTATACATTCATTTGTCTGAGCCTGCATGCATAGTATATCTCCAAAATCTGTGGTGCAAATAAATTGTGTCGCACTTAGTAAGGTGTCCCCTTATAGGATCAATTCACATATTTAAGAAGTGCAGTCGTATACCATCAACCAAAATGGAGGTATAACTTAAAAACCTGTTGTAGTGTTACAATAGTACATTTTATGGAAAATGTTATTGACTAGGGATTGCTTTAGGCCAGGGGTGGCACAGTTTTTGCCCCCGGGCTAAATTGGAAAGAAAACTTTTTTCGCGGGCCGAACCAGAGGCTGCCCTAGGAAGATTTTGAGGTAGTGCAAGATCTCATCATGATGTAAAAACCAGAGAGATTGCAGATACATTTTTCACATAATCGTGCATTATGAACATTCTACGCTGTGCTTAAGGCATTCGTAATGGAGCTTTAATTCTAAATGCACGGTGAGTTGTTGACCATTTTTTAGGCGTCAGAATTTTTTGTCAAGCTATTCGGACTTGAGAAGCTAATATTGAAAGATTAATCGCGGGCCACATAAATTCATTATACGGGCCATATGTTGGCCGCGCCTGCTTTAGGCCATATAATTGTACATTCAGTTATACTTTTGCAACATGATTTCATATAGAACACCTCCACTATTTGAGAATCTCCATGTGCATACTGTTCTAAATGGATGATGTACTGCAGTACATCTTGTAACATGGTGGTGCCTATTGAATTTCATCTTCATTACCATCCTGTGATGAATCTTAAGCAACATTCTGATCATCAACATGTATGTTGAAGATCATTTTATGATCTTCACTGATGCTATCATGAACTACTAGTACATCATCAAATGATGATAGTGTTGCATGATCTGTAACTTCTGTTGATGCCAGAATATCTGGCAGAGCTTTCACCACCTCAATTTCTTATTCCAGTGGACTTGTTCTTGCAGATGTGGGACTGAATCCTGCATGCACGAAACATTTTTTAATTAATTGTCTTAGTAGGCATTATGTATAGAGCAGATTGCACCGAAGTAAGTTACAGCTTTCACAAATTTGGCAGCCATCTTGCACTGCTTTGCTACATTAACCAGCTTCTGAATCAGTTGTTTCCTGTATTGTAATTTGACCATTTGAATAATTCCATTATCTAATGGCTGAACCTCACTTGTTAAATTATGGTAAGAATCACAGCCACGCACATGACAACATCGGCATGGCCGGTGGCATATTGATAAATGACAAGAACTTCCGATTAGCTCATTTTCATGTTGCGAACGGTGGCAATGTTGTCTGTGCTTTCCAATTGTGCCTCCACATCACTGGTGGAAGATCCACTTTTATGTGATTCCTGAAGGCACAAGGTATGCGGCATTCCCAATCATACAAGTTTTTCTCCCTAGCACTTCAGCCAAACAACACACCAACACGTTCATTTGATTTTATACCTGCTTTGCATGGGTTGCCTTTTTTTGCCAATGATTTTGTCAGAAGCCGCCAACAGGAGAAGCCCGTTTTGTCGGCATTAAAAATGTTCCTCGATTTGTATTCTTCAGTCATGAGGAGGTTTTTCCCACTATCCTCTGCAGTAACTTTGTCACCATCTACAGAGTTCCCACATGGGACTTTTTAATGTAATGTTGTGTCACTCTTTACAACATTGCAACTAACCTTTGTCTGCCTTAAATCCTTCCAATTTAAGATGTTCTGCATCTTCCCTGCACTCTCCTGTAGCAGTGTTCCACTTACGGGGATGTTTCTTGCTCGGCAGGACCGAAAGATTCTAGAACTTTCTCGTCCAGACTGTCATTCATGCTACAAGTAATCCATATTTGGTTTGGAATACAATTGTCTTCCCTTGCACACATATATTATTACATATTATCTTCTTACTGATATGTGCCACTGCAATGCTCCTGCCTGATTCTCCTTTGGCTGGCCTATGGAGGACATCCTTTTTTCTTTTCGATAGCTAACTCGTTTCTTTGTTTAGCAGCCATACACCCATTCGGTCCAGGATTGCCAGATAGAAACAGAACTATAAATCATCAATGGGGAACACACACATTGTAAAAAATTTAAAATATTTTAAATTACAATAAAAGAAAAAAATTTTAATTTAGAAATATGTTAGAAAAAACAAACTTCAAAATGTTTTTTTCCTATGTTTAAAATATTTTAAACTTCAAAAACGTTTCTTCCTAGCATACTGATTTTGGAATTGTTCTATAACCCGAAGCAGACCTTGGGTACAGTCAAAAGCATTCGTTTAACGAATTATTAAAGGTTTGTCACCAGAAGTAAAGGTTATTTATTGTTAAAATTGTTATAAAAAACTTTTTATGTACAGTCCAGTACATTCAGATTGTTTACTGCAGTAAACAATCTGAATGTCTTCTTTTTCAGAAGCATAAAATGTCATTAAGAAAGACTAAAATTTTTACTTAATTCAGCACTAAATAATTTAAGCCCTTAGGCTGCATACTCAGTAGCAACTGTTATTGCCAAATGAACAAAAAACCCCTCTTATTTGATATTTTTATGGACAAATCACTACACGTAGTAAATTCCTTAATGCTAGAATGAGTTTTTAAGGAGTCTGACAGATGGTGTTTTACAACAAAAACAGCTCTAAAAAGTCATTCTAGAATTCTTGTTTCGATCCGTAACGTTCGAATTTGACAGGGAAAATGGCATCCGTTGGACCCCTCGTACTCATTTTGGCGTTAGCAAATTTCTCTGTTTTTATTCTGTGATGATCCGCTCCACATTACGGAGCATTACTTGATTTTTTGAGATTGCGACAATAAACTGAAACTCTGTTGTCAAACAAGTAATTTATTATAACCTCATATTGTGGCAACTCGAGATGTCACAAAGAGATGTAAAACTTTCTATTTGATCTTCCTGAGGATTTATCACCTTTTCTATAAGTTATGCTTAAATATTTGAATTTGAATATCCTCAAAAATTTGTGGTACAGAACAAATTGACTTTGCTTTCTGCCTTTTCTTTCCTTTTCAAAATGACAGTGTTTCTAGAAATAGTAATGTAAAGAATTTAATTTTAGTGATTTTATAAATAAGTTATTTATTTTGCAGGTTATCCAACGCTCTTACAAATACCAAGTGAGACATTTTATAGCAGCTTTGATTATTCCAAAGAGGACCACCTCGCGGGGGCATCCGTCTCCGCCGTAACGTGATCGTCTCTTTTCGTCGGGAAGGTTTTTTGGACGGTTCGACCGGCCGGGTTCCCGGGCCCCGACCCCCGAGACCGGCCCGTTTCTAGTCTCCCCGTTTCGTTCCCGGCACCGCTCTCCGATCTTCCCGCGTCCGACGCGGAGCGATCGGACAGAAAATGAATTTTCTCTCTAGTGTTTGTGCAAAATGTTTTTTTAAAATAAAATGTATAGAAATAAAATTTACAAAACAGAGCATCTGATTCAAAAAGGGCCGCATTTCGATAAACGACGTCTACAATACATAAACCAGTCTTGCCTGGGAATCGAAACTGCCGTTTCGGCAACAAAAAATATTTATTGGGTGACGAGCACAAGTCATACACACAAATTAATAATGTACTGTACATAAATGCATTTAAGCCATCATGACCGGTTTCTTTATTTCTGCTTTCAGACTTTCGTTGGTGCTGGAGTAGCCCGTTCCTCCCTAGAGAAAAATAAAAATGAAGAAAGTGATTAAGAGTTTCTAGTATCAAAAATACAAGCATCCATAAAATGGAGAATTAAATTGTACAGAGAAGATTAATGTGATGTGATTCCTAGAATATGAGAGAAACCATTTGTGCATGCTTTATTTTTCAAAAATCTGTCTCGTGACAAGTTATGCTATTGATTGCAATGTCATTTTCTAGGTAAAAGGCTTATTGTTCCCACTTCCAAAATTTGGACAATTTGTCTATAGAAAAAAATGCATTCATATACTATCAAATAGTACCCTGGAAAAGCTTTGAGCGTTTTCAAAATCTGGTACCCATATTGATTCTTACATTACAATAAGAATCATTCTGACTGCTTTCTTTTTAAACTGGTATGTGCTACTCTCCTGTCCTAAACTAAAATCTAAAAATTCAGGTAAGAATACATCATCCTAACAAAAACATACTCAATTTACAAATAAGGTACGTAAGAAGCCTTCCAAAATTATGCCATTGTGTGACAGAGACAACCGAAGATTTTTTTATGCGGGTCAGTTACCTAAAAATATTCAAATTCTATCACTTTTACTGCAGATTTTCTAAATAAAAAAAAATATATGTGTTTAACTTGAGTGGGTTTGACCCTATTACTAATGTCAAAACATTTGACCAACGTGATGCATCCATTTGTTATTCTGGAAGATTGCCATGAGAATCACTGATGTGTAAGCTCACCTCTGAAGAAAAGGTTTAAGATTGTGGACCGGTTTGTATTGTCACACTTATGATGATGCAGGATATACCTTTAATTAACTAAGCTATTCCGATAAGACAAGACATCGATTGAAGAATATGAGGAACAATGAGCATTGAGCACATTTTGGCCTAGACGATTTCCTCCCATTGGCTGGGATTCTTGTAATTATGAATCAGACGGCACCACATTTGTTTGTTGTGTGTTTCAGTATTGGCCTTTTTTTTGCAAAAAGAAAAATTTCAACTACAATTACCGTTACGTAGCTTTTCTATAAATTTGTTTGCATTCCTTTCTGACATTGTATTTAATATGATAATAAAATTGATGAACACTTAAAAGCAACACCAATTAAATACATACTGTCTTTCAGTGTTATATACCTTAGGAGTTGTCCATAAATTAAAAATTTTAAGAAAAATGTGGACATAACCTCCCTCTCCTCTTCAGATGTCCAACAAAATTTCATGAAAAAATGGATATCCTCTGAAGCTCAACTCCCCTCCCTTTGTGTGGACATTATTTATGGGCAGCCCTTTAATTCTAACAGACTATATTAATGCCGAAAGACTGTGCATATTTGCCATATATTTACACAGATAAGACCCCCAAAACCAGGGGTCATCTTATAGGACAGTTAAAAAAAAATTGGATTGAAATTATTATAAAAAACTGTAATTATTTACTAGTAGAGAGTAGGGTATGTCCAGAAAATACAAAAACCTCATATGGGCTATTCTGAATAATCAAGGTCATTACCCTAATACCCAAATCAGTGGGAATGTTTGCAACAATAGCAAGGCAGTGCTGCCAGATATAAGAAAATAAAATTTGTTTATGCCATATTTGTAATTTTTCGAATGATTCTGTATAAGCTATACAGTGTTATTATCCAGATGATGATCGCTGATCTAAACTAAATTCATAGGCCGTTGATAGTTTGGGGTCGTCTTATAAGACAGATACATGCTAAAACTATAAAACTTTACCATATATTTGTGCAGATGAGGTATAAATTTTTGTCAATGTGATTTGTTAACACCTTTATGTAACTCACTCCCTTAAAAATTTATATTATTTTGCTCATAAATACCATATTTACTCGCATATAAGATGATCTTGTGCCTATAGGACAAGGTGCAACTTTAAACGAAATAAAATTAAAGATTAAAATTGTATTAATAAATGTAATCACAAATGAATGTAAATGCAAACATTGTGTGCAAAAAATATGCCATTTTAAACTTTAAGGAAAAATCTTGAAAAATCAACAACATAATTTGTTCATATAAAGCTGGGCAATTGGAAACTTTTTTGCCAATTCTTAACAGTCAATTGCACTTCCCATGTGAAAACAGATTATTATTCCCACATGAATCCATTAAATCCATTCCCATGTGAAAACAGATTATTATTCAGAAATCAGAATTCAGAGAAATTTGTATTGGGCTCCCGTGATTTTGGAATTTCGAATTCAATTCGACAGCTTTGCTTTCCCTATTGCTATTCATCTTTACTCCTGACAATACACAAGAACAGTTCAAATGACCCAAATAAAATACTAATGTTTTTAAACACGAGGGTGAGCATCCTGTAATAAATGCAAATACGTGGTTCACAAAAATTATTTGCAGAACCGCAAAGAATCCTTTGCTCGTGCATATAGGACAAGCTCAGTTTTTGAAAGCAGTGAAAAGTGAGTAAATCCTCATCTTATATGCGAGTAAATATGATATTTAAACTGTGTCTGTCCCCAATAATTAAATAAAAACAGTTACCCTCTGTAAGTATATGATGTCCTTCTCGGTCAACTTCTTTCCATTTATTGGATCGATCATCTCCTTTCTAATGATTTTCTCCACACACTCCACGGTGACAACACTACCTCTGTATAAGAGAAAAAACAAGTAGACATGAAAAGTCTTTATTTATTTCTTTTATAATTAAATGTGAAATAAATGTCAAAGTACAAATTGAAAAGGATTTATTGCAAGCTGAATATTTATTGAGATTTACAATTTCAATTCTAAATAATAATAATCAAATACAATTGCATGGAAAGAAAGCTTGGTGTGCCAAACATTTACAAAATGGTGTAGAACACAAAATGATAACTAAGCATTCAAAAGATTAATATGTAAAGAGTACTAGTAATTCCTTTGGTAAATGTTGTCTCTGCATCACATCTGTCAGTGACAAATGTTTTCAGTATCATGTTGCCATAGAGTTGGATTCTTAGAAATTCTTCTGGGCACACAAAGCATGTAGACTTTGCTCCCTTGTTTCCGACATAAACTTTTGTTATGGATAATCTGACAATTTAGAAATGGTGATGCTTGAATTTGATATTTCCCTGTTCTTGCATATATAGTGTATCCATGAACTGTGCTTACCTGTATGGAACCAGTCATTGATCGATAAAGATGAGACTAAATTTTGATTTTGTTCAGCAGAAAGGTCCAATGCAAAGACTTGGTCCATCATCCAACTATTTTAGAACTTTGGGTTGCCAAACTACTTGTATGCAATCTGTATAAAAAATTCTATCCTACTGTAATTGTCTTTCATCCTGAGTTTTAATCATAAATTTTTCTAGGTGATAAGTGTTGTTGTAAGAAGTAATGATAAATATTGCAGCAAACTCGATACAGATGAAATTAATTTCCTGACTCAAAGTGAAATTTTTACCATTGTGAGTCTAAAACCTCCCAGATAGTGTTTGACTCACTTTTCTGTAGTTTCTTACACGTGGATATAATGTTTTAAATGCAATACTGACAAGTGGCACAATCTAGTGTTCTGCCACAGAGTTTCAAATCTCTCTATATTGTGTGATTGTTAAGGAATCGATGTAATGGAACAGTTGTCTATCAGTCTGCTGTAACTGGAGTTGAGTTGTTGGAAATAAAGCAAAGAAGAAACAAGTAGCAGCTCTCAGTGAGCAAGCGTCTTCTTTTCCAAGAGTTAGAAGCATCTGCATCTGTTGTAAACAGAATAATTAATTAAGATCTGTTAGCCAGGACAAAAAAAAAGATGCCATTCTCTGCCTCATCACAAGACAAACAGAACATTATGGAATTGTATCTGCACCACCTGGCTGGTTCTAAGAGTGAATATGTGGCCACATTAGACAAGGTAGTTGGACTGTGAATGCCACAAAACATGGCCAGGTGGGTTTGTGTTAGTTGGAAATGATAGTGGTAGTCCTCTTCCTGTCATAAGGACCAAAAAATGTAAAGGTTAATGAAGTTTAATGATTCATTTACTGAAACTATCTGAAAGAAGAAACTTCCTGGAGAGAAGAGCAAGATTATCCTACATCACAATACAGTTTCCAGTCACACTGCCAGATTCACGTTCATTCCATCTGGAGGAGTTAGTGCGGTAGTAAAGCCGTCATACATTTAGAGCACTATAATAAAGTATCATCTTTGGTCATGGAGATATTAATTAAGGATCAATGAACACATTTGGATGAAATTAAAATATTTAGTATCCATGATGAGTACTATTGACATTTAAATTTTGAATAAATTCGTTTGATCATTTTGGACTAGCTTTTTCAAGAGTCAACCACCACCTGTTTGCTCTTGTAAACATTTTATTTCAAAATATTGAGTATTTGTAAATTTCAACATATTGGCTGACAGTACAGGGCTATAACCCTGTACTATGTCAACCAAGTAATTGCAAGATGTGACCTTCACATCTTGCAATTACTTTTGATCTATTAATTAACATAAGCCAAATTATTCAATAAATACACTATTTTTAAATTTTGGCTTGGTATTACTTAACTGGTTATGTGATTTGGTCTGAGTCACAGGTAACACCTCTCTGTGTAGGAGCATTGAAAATATGGAAAAAGAAATGTTGTAATATTGGAATAGATAGTAATTCAGACACAAATTATTATTGTATTTATTTTCAGGCACTTGGCAATTTTTATCATCAAAATTTTTTATTTAGTTGATTTTTTGATGATTGTTGCCGTTTCAGCTTCGGAATTCTTATTCTGGTACTACTAGCACGGTTTCAAAGTACCAGAATAAGAATTCCGAAGCTGAAATGGCAACAATCATTTTGATGATTGTTTTATTTAGTTGATTTTTTGAAATCAACTAAATAAAAAATTTTGATGATAAAAATTGCCAAGTGCCTGAAAATAAATACAATAATAATTTGTGTTTGAATTACTACTAATAACTACTAGCACGGTTTCAAAGTACCAGAATTGGAATAGATATTAACGGTAAACCAATGTTTATATTGCAATTTGCAGATGATCAGGTGGTAATGGCAGAAGATAAGGATGATCTAGAATACATGACAAGAAAAATAAAAGAGGATTATTTTAAAGGAGATTTATATATAAACCTGAGTAAAAAAATATTTATGCATAGGAGGGACTAAAACAGGCATGGAACTGGAAGAAGGAGAAAAGATTAATGGATGTGAACATTACAGTTATCTTGGAATACAAATTCATCAAGATGGAAGAATGCCTTGTGCTAATCTTGTATTAATTTCTAATGTAAGAGAGCAGTTAAAAGATTAAATGGAATATAGTAGAGTGAAGAAATAACTAGATCAAAAAAAAAAAAAAAATTATATAATGATAATTATATTCGAGGATATTTCCTCGAAGTCGGAAATAGAAATATAATTTTTACTTGTTTTTTAACTAAAAATTTTTTATTTTTAGTGTGTTAATATTACCACCGATCCCATTGGTTTTAATAATTGAATTTATATTATATAATGATATTGTTAAAAGCATTCTGTTATATGGAGTGGAGGCATGGAGAATGACTGGGAAGAGAAGAGAAAAGTAACAATGGTTGAAATGGATGCATTGAGAAGACGACCGTGCAGAATCTCAAAAAGAGAAAGAATAACTAATAAGAGAATCAAAAACCTAATGTGATTGAAGGAGACTGTTTTGGAAGAAATTAAGAAAAAACAACTTATTTGGTATGGACATGTGAAAAGAATGAGTGACGAGAGACTCCTGAAAATGTCAATTGAATACAATCCACAACAAAGGAAAAAGAGAGGAAGACCCAGACAAACTTGGTAAGAGAGTGAAGTTAGCATGTAGTGAAAAAGGGATTAAAGAAGAATGGTGTATGGATAAAGATAGATGGAGAGGGTTTCTGGAGATCGGAAGGCAACGTCAGATGCCATAAACCGACTATATATAGATAGATAGGTTACGTGATTTCCAGATGAATACAAAAGAGGTCGGAAATCCAATTCTGCTTCTGGAACTGACACAAGTGTGAAACTCAATTGGATGGAATAGTTCCTCAGAAATGAACTATGGAACAGATGGTTCCTCAAAACATTAAGTTCCATTGGAATTGCAACAGTTCCTCATAAGTTTTATATACACATGCAACCTCTGATGATAAAGAAGTCAGTGAATGAGTTCAGAAAAGGAAGGCTTTGACATAACATAATTCAGCAAACATACTTTACTATTCCTCAATCTAGTCCCAATCCTTGGCAATACACTTTTGTGAAAGAATGTACCATACAAGACCTAAGACTATGCATGAATGTTGGGTATGTTGGAAAATCTGTTGCCTTTTATGGCAATTTTCAGTCACAGAAACAAAGTAATCTGGGGAACCATATCAGGCAAGTATGGGCAGTGTGCAAGTGACACCTCCTTTTTAGCCAGCATTTGCTGCATGACTATGGCTGTATGGGAATCGGGCTCATGGCTCCTACACAACAATACATCTTGGCATACTAAGGACATAGAAAGAAACTCATGCTTCTGCAGAAGCATGAGTTTCTTTGTGAATTTGCCAAGCTATAGCAGAATAGCAAATTCATTTGTTGCTCCATTTTCTCCACTTGATCACGACTTCAACCTCTACTGCTAACAAAACACCACGTGACTTTTAACCGTGTTGCCTTTGGCCTCTCGCAGTGCACAGTGTGCAGTTTATGCAGCAGTGCTACAACAGATATGCCAACATCTTTCACCAAACTTTATTGTCAAAGGTGACAAAACCTCTGACAATAAAGTTCCTCCAAGAGGTGTTCAAATATTTTTGTACACCAATAGGTGAACAAAGTATTGACATACAGTCAATTCTTAATACTGTAGTAACATTATTGAGATACAATTTTTATTTTACTTTCTATATAATAATTAGATGTAATATATTTTTTACCCTTTGAAAACTAAGGTGTATACACAACATGATTTGAATGAATGAAAGTATTTGCACAATGATGTGAATGAAATTAATTTGCATAAGTATCATCATTTTTTATGCCCAGAATGGTAGATATATGAAATAAACATTGGATTTCAATCTACTCATTTTGGCAGAAGTCCCAAAGCAACAATAAAAGAAAGGAAAATCACCACACATTTGCATCATATTTGGAAATGGTTAAAAGGAGTATATTTACAGTAAGAAATATAACTCAGCATTTTAAATCAACCTGCAGCTTAGAAAATAAACCAAAATGTAACTGCTTGTGAATCTGTTGTCAAGAAGCCAAAAATATAATTAATTGAAATTATAATGAGGAACAAGGCAGTTTATTCAAAAACTGTCTACAGACACCTTTGTTGTGCTGGTTACAGAGCAAGAGTAGCCAAATGAAAATCATGTATGAGTAAAATTAATTGAAAGAATTATTTATATTATATTTCCCCCCTTAAACTCTTTATATCCAAACAAAAACATCTGAGATGTAAAAAACTTATGCCAAGTAAAACTTTATGATAATTTAGATGACAGTCGAAATTTTTCTTGGTAAAGATAGCTTGACACATGGAGCCGAAATGTAGAAAACAATATTACACGTAAAAATCTCATGGGTACCACTTCCAAGTGCCAAGCTATCTTCTTACCAAAGAA